CGGAGCCGTGGGCAGGGGGAACCGGGGCCGGGGTCTCCCTGGCAGGGCTACACTGTGGGCAGGGGGATGGGGAGGGGGGGGATGAGGAGGCAGGGAGGGGGGGGGGACACAGCCACCACAGGCAGGGGATGGGCAGAGGCAACGGGGTCTGCCCTGGGGACCCCCGGGTCTCGGGGATGGTGGCATAACCCTCTATGGAGGAAGATGTGGTTGGGGGCCACCTCAACCATCGGGACACGTCAACAGGGAGACATCCATGGGGACACATACATGGGGAGACATCAATGGGGAGATATCCATGGGGACACGTCCATGGGGCCAGGCCCTGGGGACCTGCCCGGTGCCATTGCAGAGCCATTTGCTGCCATCGTCATGGGATCTGGGGAGGATGGCACTGGTGGGAAGGAGACAAATATATATATGTAATATGGTGGGTAGCTGTGTAAATTGGATGAGTGAATGTACAGATCTGATGAGGGACACACAGATCTGATGGGTGGACGTACAGTTCTGATGGGTGGACACGTAGATCTCATGGGAGACACACAGATCTGATGGGTGGATGTACAGGTCTGACAGACGGACATATAGCTCTGACAGGAGGACGGTGCACCCATGGGCCAACATGGGCACCTTCATCTTCATCGCTGGGACAGAAGCACTTCTGGGGGGACCAGGGAGCGTTCAACCCCACCAAGACTTTGTGGGTTGCCTGAGTGGGCTCTCTGGAGACCCACGGGCATCAACTGAGGCATTTTTGGGGCCATGGGGTCTTCTTCCAGCAGCACCCAAAGCAAATGCCTCCTCGGGTGCGGCAGCTGGGGCCAGGTGGTGGCTCCTGGGTGACACAGGCTGGGTGCCATCGTGGCGGTGGCACTTTGGTGACCCTAGAAGTAAGAAGGGGATTTTGGGTTTCAGTTCCTCTGCCCGAAGCTCTTGGCTGCCTCCAGGAAGGGCTGTGCTGGCGCCAGCAGCTGCTCCCCGGGGCTTTCCAGCCATGATGAACCCTGGCGTAGAAGATAAATAATAATACTATAATAATAAATTTAATAAATATAACAATAATGGGGGGGTGGTGCTCCCCCCAAGCAAAGGGGACCTGTCCCTGCAGTGGCACGGTCATGCCACAGTGATGGGACAAGGCGACAGCTCTTGCCTCTGCCCACACCAGCCATGAAAACCGAAAGCGTGATGCAAAAAAATAGGTGCAAAAATTCAGCAAAAAATGGGACTTGAGGCTTGGATCCGGGTCGGGAAGGGATCTGCTGCTTCCTCGTGTCCTGGGCTGAGCCTGTAATTAACGTAAACGAGGCAAGCAAACGGAGCGTGGAGGGGATGGAGCGGAGTGTTGTGATGGAGGAAGGATCCGTTCTCTTCATCCTCCTCCTCCTCCCCACCAGACACCCCAAAATAAAGGGAAACATGATGAAATCCACCAAAGCTTCCAATTTTTTTATGTAGCTCACAGATTTTAGCAGCAGAGAAGGGAATTTCTGGGGTTTGGGCTCCTGCTTCCCTGTGTTGGTGAGGTCGCTGGGGACCGACCGTCAGCACTGCCAGTTTTGGGGTGATTTCTGCAAATTGGGGGTCAGATATTCAGCCACACCCTTTCAGGGAAACCCCGAATCTCCCCAGCTGAGCACGTTTCAGGGACGAGGGCTCTCTCGTGTCCCTGCCGTCCCCGCGATAGCCCCAGCTGTCCATTCGTGTCCCTCCTGAGGGCTGCCACCGAAGGCAGAAGTCAATTATAAATTATAATTATAAAATGCAACACACCCACCTACCCACGTGCCCACGGGCTGGGGGTCTTTGGGGGAGGAACAGCACAATTCGGGCAGTTTTGGGGAAGGCGAGGCCGCGGGGTCAGCCTGGAAGGATTCAGGACCGATCCTGGCTCATCACGTGATTTAAAACCAGGGTGCGCTGGCCCTTTAAGGAGGAGGGGCGCTGGCCCTTTAAGGCCGGGGCGGGTGGGGGCGCGAACAGGTGCGCTCGGGAGGGAGTAAAAGGGGGGCGGTAGAGCGACGGGGCGAGCCGCCAATAGGAAGGCAGAAGGAGCTAGACGGGCCAATGAGCGGCCGGTTAACGGAGGGGGCGGGCCGCTGCCCGGCTCGGCGGCGGTCGCGGCGGCTCGACCCGCTC